CAGTACTTGGTCCACTGCTTTTTAACTTGTTCATTAATGATTTGGAGTTGGGAGTAAGCAGTGAAGTGGCTAAATTTGCGGATGATACGAAGTTGTTCAGGGTGGTGAAAACCAGTGAGGATTGTGAGGCACTCCAAAGGGATCTGTCAAAGTTGGGCGAGTGGGCGTCAACATGGCAAATGGGGTTCAATGTGGCCAAGTGCAAGGTGATGCACATTGGAGCCAAAAATCCTAACTATAAATACACGTTGATGGGGTCTGAACTGGCAGAGACAGATCAAGAGAGAGATCTTGGAGTTGTAGTAGATAACTCACTGAAAATGTCGAGACAGTGTGTGACTGCAATAAAGAAGGCCAATGCTATGCTGGGGATTATTAGGAAGGGTATTGTAAACAGATCAGCCAATATCATAATGCCGCTATATAAATCAATGGTGCGACCTCATCTGGAATACTGTGTGCAATTCTGGTCACCACACCTTAAAAAGGATATTATAGCTTTGGAAAAAGTGCAGAAAAGAGCAACTCGAATGATAAAAGGGTTGGAACACTTTCCCTATGAGGAACGGTTAAGGCGCTTAGGGCTCTTTAGCTTGGAGAAACGACGACTGAGGGGTGACATGATTGAGGTTTATAAGATTATGCATGGGAAAGAGCAGGTAGAGAAAGAGGTATTCAAGAGGGAATTAGATAAGCATATGGAGCAGAGGTCCATCAGTGGCTATTAGCCACAAGGTATAGATAGGGACTCTGGGGCAAGTGATGCTCTGTCATCTTGGTGCTTGGGGGGGGTCAACAGTGGGAGGGCTTCTAATGTCCTGGCCCCACTGGTGGACCTCCTGATGGCACTGGTATTTCTGGCCACTGTGGGATACAGAGTGTTGGACTGGATGGGCCTTTGGCCTGATCCAACATTGGCATCTCTTATGTTCTTATGTTCTTATGTTCATCCATGCATGGAAGGCACACAGAATTTTCCGTCATTCCTCTCAGTTTTTGTGGCCCCTTCTGACCCCTGGAAAGATCACTCCTAAGGTCACAGGATCGATGCACAGGACTAGCCATACCTTTCAGTAGGCTGGAATGAAGAAGGACAAGGGGATGAAATTGACCCCAGTGGAGCTGCACTGGAGGAAGAGGAAAGGGGGGTGATTTTACCCCCCCCCTATTCTCTGTCACTTCAGCCCACCGAACTGCACAGCTGGTTCTCCATGTGATCTTCCCAGGGATCAAAAGAGGCTGCGGGAACAGAGACAAATGAAAAAAAGCTCCTCGTTTCATGCAGAGAATGGTTGAATATGTGCCTATAATTTTAAAAGGTATGGTAAGGTATTGAATATAACTTGATGATAATGATAACGCAAAACTCATTCACTGTGAATGCACTCGTTCACAAGCACTGTTTGCTGTTAGTAGCTTTATTGGCTGTTCTGACCTTCCATGGAGCAATTCCACTCAGGGGTTGCGATGCAGATTGAAACATCTGGATCCTAAGCAGTGCGCGTGGAGCTGTAGCAGGAAGTGGCAACTGCTCCAACCTGCCCCCTCACTACAGCTTTCTGTGCTCCCCGAAATTATGTCCCTGCAGTTCAGTAGACTCAAGTGAACAGTGTTGGCAGCAAATCTGAAGTCTGCAGCAGGAAGGGAGTGTGATGGATGAAGGGCAGATGTGACAAGAAGATTTATGACGACTGATCAACTTTGAGGTTACACCATGGCTGGGAAAAACCTTATCTGGCTAGATAAGACTAGTAGTGAAAACATGGCATCGGTTTGATATGTTAAGGACTTTCTATTGGCTAAGCGGGTTCTGTTGGGCTTCATGCCCCAGAACCCAAGGACAGGATTCATTAAGGCCTTTTTGACACACATGGGGGGGAGGCCTGAAAAGGAGCTGCCCCTTCTGTCAATGTGTGTGGCTTTGCGTGTGTATGAGGAGGGAGAGCAGAGACCCTTTTATTCATTTACCCATCTGAATCCCCTTATATTCATTTACCCATCTGAATCTCCCAATGGGCTTGGGAGGTCAGGTGCCGAGGATTTGTAATTTCAAGCAGATAAGCAGCCTTTCTATGTTTCTTTTCTTAGTCTGTACCCTAGGTCCTGAAACTGTATTTATTTCAGAGTTGTGCCTGTCATATTAACCTGGGTTAGTTAAGAAGTTGTTGCCTTGATTCCTACCCACATGACTTGTTTTGGCTCATGCTATGAACACATTTTGGTAGTTCCTCCTAGCTGCTAAAACAGAGAGAGGGCTGGGAACGGGAGGGGGTGGAGGCTACTGAAGGAAAGTTGTTTGGGCTCCACCTCGCAGGGGGTTTCTGAGCAGGCCTGCCTCTGTCTCACTTGCTCAAGGGCTGTTTGCCTGAGCAGGGAGTCAGAGTGGCCTACTGGGCTCTGGGGCAGAATTGTCATAGGAAGGGAAATCAGCAAAAATCTCCCTTCCCATTCTCCACAGGTGGAAAAGCCATTTCAGAGGTGCTGCCGGTGTGCCAACAGAATGGCACCTTAGGGTTTAAGTCAAAATCTTTTAGGAAACCTCCCATATTATGCAGTGGATGAGTATAGAATTGTACACAGGTATGTCTATAACCAAATTCATTACAACGAATACATGTTAACCAAAGGAATGGCAAGTTTAAGCATCATGCTTTGTGTGATTTGCATTTTCAAAAAATTCTCTTCAACCAATGCAATGGCGATAAATGCGAAACACACACACATGCAAAATATTCAGAGCTGAGAACAATAGCTCCACCTGGTGGCCACGTTTTTTCTTTTGCTAAAACAACATCTAACCCTTAGGACTATTAACCTCTTATTTTGTTCACATGCATCAGTCAGCATAGAAGAGTTACCCCTTAACATGCCCTTAATAAGTGCTCTCGGGATGTCTCGGATGTGGGGTACCTGTAATGAACAGAGTTTTCAAAAAGAGTCTGAGAATAGTATTACATTTTTATCATGTCAGCTTAAGAAGAGACTGACGGTTCAGTGTGAGATTTCTGCTGATGAGACTTTTTCCAGAGCAGTTACCATCCCCTGGAGTTGTACCCATTATAGGTAACTTATTAGAAACACTTCTTTGCCTATCGTGTCTACTCTTAACTCATTCAGTGAACAAAGGAATGAACAGCTAACATGTATATAAAGGAACGCTTCTCTCACATGCAGTGCTGCCCAGCTCCCTTCCTGAGATCATCCTCTGATTTGCTCTCATCCACAACCGCATGAAGTGCACAACAGTGGGATTCTTTTATTTTAAATACATAAATCTGAAGTAGTTCCTACAGTCATGGCAGCAGTCTCAGAGCTGCTGAAGATGGGGAGATCATTCTATCCTCCCTAGCTACGTAGATGTTGCACTCTGGAATCATATGGGATGACTGCCTGGAAGGAATCTGGCAAAATTGATGGCTCTTTTAAGAGAACGCTTTGGGAAGGGGTTTTCATGGGAACCCAACGTTTTGCAAGAAGAGATGAGGAAAGCTGCCACGCCCTTCTGAATTTACAAATCATGGCGTTGGCTGGCACTTAGGGACTATAAGAATATGGGATAAGCCTTTGATTATTGACCTTATGTTTAATGTTAACCTTAGGTTTTAGTGGTGATTTAGCAGCTGTGTGAATGTTGTATAAGTTCCAGTTTACTTACTTATTTATCTATTTATTCAAATCTGTACCCCGCCCTCCCCGCCTAAGCAGGCTTAGGGCGGCTGACACAATAAAACATAATAACAATCAAATATCATAAAACTTTTAAAACAATTCATTAAAACCACAGTATAACAATATAAAGTGCTGGCAATAATGTTTTTATCATATAGACATAATATTATCATATATACATCATCATATAGATGGTGCTACACTTTATGAAAGCAGCTGTTTTCTGGGCTGTCTTCTGCACTCCTTTTAAAGTTTAAGAGGATTGCACAAGACAGCCTGAAACAGCTGAGCAGCAGGGAGCGCCTCACCACCACTCAGCTGTTTTTGTGGCTTTCACAGGGAACATAAAGCAAGGGTTTAAAGGGATTCAGAATCCCTTTAAACCTCTGCTTTCTGCTCTATCCATGAACAACAAACCAAAACAAACTGCTTTAAAAGTTCATGACAGTAGACCTGTCACAAATGTCTATTCATGAATCACAAACAGGGCAAAATTCGTGACAAATTTTGCTTTGTGGTTCTGTTTGTGCCCATCCCTAGAGGTGGTTCCACAAATAAGATGGGCCAAGGCTATGAAGGGTTCGTAGGTGATAGCCAGTACTGTTCTCTGCTATATGATTGTATTTTGTTTGCATCTCCTTATTCATTAACAATATTGAGCAGACACTCAATGGGCCACAGGCAAGCAATCCAAATTAGCCTAGAGTGATTGAGGGTTGGCACACAATTCTCAGTTTCCGATCAATTGGTGAAGATTTCTGCCTTGGCAAAGCAGCTGCATAAATGTTGATGCCGAGTGCAGAAGCCAGTCTAGGGCTGTGATCAAACATACTCAACAATCAACTTTCAATCCACTTTCAATGCACTTTCCAACTGGATTTTTACTGTGTGAGCTGGCAAAATCCACTTTGAAAGTGCATTCACAGTAGATTGAAAGTGGATTATTGAGTGTGTGTGATTGCAGCCTAGGTTCGCTTTCAACATGCCACCGCAGCCACTCAAAGAAACAAAGCATGTGTGCTTGATGGAGTTCAGCATGCACATAGCTCTCCTGCCACGGGGCTGCTGCTGCATTATCAGAAAGCCATGGCTGCCACAGTTTACTCCAGGGCCCACTCAGTCACAGCTTCATACCTTTCAAAGGTCATTCCAAAGCTGTGTTTTGGCAGGATACAATTTATGTATAGTGATTTTGGCTGTGACTCGCAAACAAGTTAAGTACTTGAGTTTAAGCCAATTTAGCTCCACTGAAGTCAGCATTAGATCAATTTAAGTCCCGGCAAACTGGCAGAACCATTTATTCATTACAAGGGTGGTCTGACATATCCAACATGTTGCCCAATCTGTTGATCTCACGTTGGGCATACTCAGCTTACCAGAAGCCGGTACTTCTCTGAATCCACTGGCTTCCCAGCCTCCATGCAGGTGGTCAACCATGAGATGTCAAGGAGCCTGAATCCTGAACTGTTCCCCATCCCGTGGATTTGCAGCCATTGCAGTACTTCAGCACAAGAAGTATCCTCCGCCACAATGTGGGTGACCGAATCACTAGAGAAACAAACATAAAGACAAAAGTTTTTATCTCCCTCCTGAGTAAGAGCTTGTAGTGGCAAACTGGGGGACTGTTGTACCTATCACAGGAACGGAAGGTGATTTGATCACAATACCTTCAAAGGCATTTTCAAATTGTATTTAGAACATTCTCCGACACTCGGGCTCAGTATCAATTAACATCCTCAAGAGACGCATTCTACACATCAGAGCCTACAGCATGGAAAACATTTGGCTTGCCCACATACTGCTGTAATAAAGAGCCTCCCTAATACTACTTGACAGCTCTGAGAATAAACCGTGTGTCTATTCAATGACAGGGAGTTTCATAACACTTTTGGAATCTGCCAGATTTAAAGCAAGGCCACTTTGCCATCACCATTTGTACTCCTTAAATATGGCTATCGAAAATATACGCGTGAAATACTTACGTTGTCGTTGATTTCCAAATACACTAGTCTTTGTCCACAGAATAAGGAGACCCAACATCATAAGCTGGGAATATCAAAAAGCTAACTTTATTTTCATTGCTCTAGAGGGATCTGCAGCGTGCACAGGCCAGAAACCCATTTGAGAGCTAAGTGCAGTGCAGGCAATTGGTGGGATGCAGGAGAGCCAGGCGTCCCCTGTTTTGTGCACCCCTGATCTTATGGGTGAGGCCACCCTCACTTGGAGCTCGGAGCTTGGAGCCCTGAGCCGTCACGTGGGTACAGTTCATGTTCCTCCTTGCCAAGCCTTCTTTAGTGCTCAAGGGAGGAGTGCCACATCCAGTCCCCCTAGCCGTGAGGTCTATGACTCAAGGATACAAACCTTTAAGGGGTTCCTGTCCCAGATCCATGAAGGCACCATGGCCCCAGTCTTCTGGTCTGAGCGTTACCATTTTATCCTCCAAACTGATTCTTCAGGGTGCTCACCTGAATTGTGCCATGTAGCACTGAAGCAACATTTTCCTACAGGGGGCATCAGCTCACTGCTTGGTCCGCCCCAACACCCCACCTGCCTCTTATTGCCACCAAGAAGCCCTGCTGCAGTTCCCTCAAAAAGATGTTATATTCCTCATCTGAAAGATGGAGCCATTGGCCCTCTACAGGTATGGAAGACAAAGCAGGATGTTTGGGTGTGCAATATGTGTGCCACCAATGGCAGCAACCCCACGTTGCACCTCACCTTTCACCGTAGCTTGTGCTCTTTCCAGGACCTTGGCTGCATCACACCCTTCCAGACATGCTACTGAAGCATATCTGATCTTGGCATACAGCAGTGGCCTTTGAGCTTCCCAGCCCTGGGACTCACTGAGCTGCAAACACATGACAAGAAGTCACGTTACCTGTGATAGACAGAAGGGGAGGCAAAGTGTTTCATGGCAGTGTTGAGGCCAGGACCATAAGCAACTGGCCAAGACAGGGACAGGAAAAACAAGCCACATCACGGAATGATCTTGTCATGGTGCCGTGCTTAAAACATTCTTGTGATATTGGCAAAAAAAACCTAACAATGCTGTCACCTAGGGTTGCCAACCTCTGGGTAGTACCTGGAGATCTCTGACTATTACCTCCACGCAACCAAGATCAGTGCCCCTGGGGGGGGGGGGAATGGCTGCTTTGAAGGGTGGACTCTGTGGCATTGTGCCCTGCAGAGGTCCCTCGCCAAACCCCTCCCTCTCCAGGCTCCACCTCACCCCAAATCTCCGGATATTTCCCAACCCAGAGCGTGCTGTCACGATAAAGTCATATGTTTGCAGGCTGCCTGAAACACAATAAAAACACTTTCATAATTCTAGCCCCCATAAGGAGGCTAATGCACCACGATCCCATGCCCGTGCCTCTGACTAGGAGATTGCCTGCACTGCCCCATTTATGTTACGATCATCCTTTAACCCATCTAGGACCAAGTAGCCAGGTAAAGACATTTTTTATCTCTACTATTTCATATTAACAGAAATATGACCCTGTGGTAAAGAGTAAAATTACCGCCCACCCAGCGGTTCGAAAGCCTTGCAAGTAAATAAATGGGTACCTGCTCCTAGGTAGCAGGGGGCACCCTCCTCCCTACAGAGCGGTGTGCAGCAGGAGTGCCGGTGAAGCAACAGTGTGGCGTGGCAGCGATGTGCGGAGACCTGGGGACTCGGCAGGCATGGTGAACATCCGGCGTCGAACAGCGGCTGAATCTGGGTGAGGATTGGACGGGAAGGTGTGGTGACGCGGTGACGCGGCGTGGCGGAGCCAATTGGATGTATACCAGAGCTGCGACCATCACACAGCCGTGCACCATGAAGATCTCGCCGGAAGGAGTCGTTAAATAAATAAATAAATAAATAAAGGTCCACTATACTTGTCCACTATGAGGGTGTTCTGCAGAGCCAGGTCAGAGTCAAACTGGAAAATTCTCCTATTCGATCCATATGGCTTCTCTAAGCTTCTTTCATATACTCTGTAGAATAAAGTTTGAGTCCAGTGGCACCTTTAAGACCAACAAAGTTTAAATCTGGGTATAAGCACATGAAATCTTACACCCAGAATTAAACTCTGTTGGTCTTGAAGGTGCCACTGGACTCAGACTTTGTTCTGTTGCTTCAGACCAACACGGCTACCCTCCCAGAATCATATTCTCTGTGTTACTGATTTCCTTATCACAAATGCGGGGAGCACTGACCGCCTCCGGGAAGGAGCGGTATAGAAACCGAATAAATAAATAAATAAATAAATAAATAAATAAATAAATAAATAAATAAAGGTCCACTATACTTGTCCACTATGAGGGTGTTCTGCAGAGCCAGGTCAGAGTCAAACTGGAAAATTCTCCTATTCGATCCATATGGCTTCTCTAAGCTTCTTTCATATACTCTGTAGAATAAAGTTTGAGTCCAGTGGCACCTTTAAGACCAACAAAGTTTAAATCTGGGTATAAGCACATGAAATCTTACACCCAGAATTAAACTCTGTTGGTCTTGAAGGTGCCACTGGACTCAGACTTTGTTCTGTTGCTTCAGACCAACACGGCTACCCTCCCAGAATCATATTCTCTGTGTTACTGATTTCCTTATCACAAATGCGGGGAGCACTGACCATATCCCCATATGGAGATTGAATTTACAGTAGTCTGGCTCAACAAGACAAGCAAGAACTACCATTACGCAGCAAGTTTCAGAAACTGGTCAAGATGAGCACAAGATGAGGCGGGGTGTATTTATGTTAATTATCTGCCAGCATTCAATTAGAACGATTGAGCAAAAAGGAAGGCTTGTGGGTCTCAGAAAGGATTCTCAAATAAGGGATTGGCTCTAGCACAGCATTCCACAGATAGGCGGACTTACACTCATGGAGTATGAGCTTCTTGGCTCCCCCTTCCTGTGGCAGCCCCAAATGCCCCCAGATATCCTATTCCTGGGAGAGAGAAGAGTCCTGAGAACAGGATTTCAGGGAGCATTTGGGGCTGCCATGGGAGGCGAGGGTCAAGAAAGTCACACTCTGTGAGTCTAAGTCCTTCTGCCCATGGAAAGGCTATCCAGGATCCAAGCCAAGGTGTGGAGAAGTGCTGCTGTGCAAACCTGCCTTAACATGTTTGTTGCTCCACAAGCTGCAGCCATAGGATGACAGAGCACAACTGCATGAGGTATAAAGTGAAGCTCAGGCTGAGTTGGGGAACTTCAAGACCAGCATAGCTGGCAGAGTCCAAAAATATTACCCAAAGTATTGTACGACATGGCACTTTTGAGGAACTGAAAGAACAATGAATTTGTAACATGGGAAACAGAGTAATCATCAAAGGTCTCTCCAAATCCTTTATGTACAATGTACATTTTCCCCTCTTCAAGTCCACTTTTCTGGTTGTATCTCTATTTCTTTCTGCTCTCTTCTTTCCCTTTTTGGAGAGACGCCTGCCTTTTAGAATCAGTTGGCCTTCATTTATCTTTATGTATAGCAATGGTATTGCAGGAGTTTCTAAATCTAATCTGGCATATTACATTCATTTCAGCGCCTGCACTGTATAACCAAGAAAGCTAGTTTTGAATTTCATATAAAACGAACTAAAACTAATTCATCTTTCTTGTCATTTTATAAATTGTACTAGTCAAGCATAGTGCAGAAGGGAAACTCGGAAGACTTTACTATTGCCATACTTGAATTATAGGATTCAGTACAATAATTTCTGTTTCTAACACACTGCTAGGTTTCCCTTTAATTAAACTGCTGTGCTCTGTACTGTTGTCTCAAAAAATTCAGTTAGAGATGTTTAACTTCTGCTTCCTGTGGTTTATATCCCTTTATATAAAATGTACATATTTAATGCATTTGTACAGAGCTGAAGATCTGGGAACTTTGCCATTTCTGCACTCACAACAGCAGTGGTTTAGCTAACTGTGCCCCAGTTTCCTCTGATACCTTCGCAGCTGCATCATATTCCTGGCAAAACATGTAAGAAATGCAGAATGCCCCGATATTGTTGACAACTTTTTAAAAAGAAATCTACAGTTAAATGGTCCTGGTTAGTGTTGCAGTGAATCCAGACCCAATGCATGAAAACAACACATTCCACTTCCCTCACTGGAAGTAGGAACACTGGCAAGAAATTTCTTGTCTGCCTTTACTCTGTTTCCACTGCTGGCACACACAAATCCATTGCAAAGGGGTGGTCATGAATGTCAAGTTTGATTGAAATGGACATCAGTTGCAGGGCTTTGATTTTTTGGAAAAAGAGGTGCCAGAACTCCCAAGAGGGAAATGAAGTTTTCAATCTGTATACTAATAACTCATGAACTTTTAAACATTTTTAAAAGAATTTTGTTGAAGAGGTTCTGGAACTCTGTTCTGGCACATCCCCCCCAAAAAAAGCCCTGATTCAATTGTATTCTTTGGTCCATGTCATTTTAGTAAGTAACTATTGCTGGGGGAAGGGATCTGTGTTGGCTTTCATACAGTCAAAAATCAAATTGCTAATAATTTCTCAGGAGGTCTTTATGCTCACGAATGTCAGGCATAGGGTTGCCAGGTTCCCCC